CTTTATCAAAAAAGTGAATGACGACTGTACTGAACACAAAGCTGGAGAAAATGGTGAAAAGGCCGGCGATGCCTGCAACCCGTTGGATGTAAGTCAGTAAAATGAAATCCTGCAGCACACGATGACCACACATCACTCACCAAGAATGTATTTAGATCCCAGCTGCCTCAAGCTCTGGAACTGGAAGTAAATATAAACAATGGCAATGCAGCGGGTGATGGTCAGGATGATGATGTCACTGCTTAGCACTTCCTGCAACAACAAAACAGTTTAGCGTCTACAAATACAAAGAAAAGGAAAAACACACTGCTTCGTCTCATTGCCACAGTGACATCAGAGACTAATCCCAGCCCTGAAACACAGCAGGTCCACCTACCTCCTCTGCTTTGGAGCAGTCCAGGTTCCAGCCACAGATCTCATCATTGCCGGTGAACATGTTCATGGACATCATACAGATGGTCAAAGTGATGGTGCCAACAATCACCTCCCATGGGTGAGAGGCCACCAGGAGGCCGTGGGCTCTGAACAGAGGACTGAGCATGGCTGTGGAGTATCACACAGGGGTTGAGGAGCTAAAGCTGCAGCTAGAATAGGTATCACACCATGTTTGTAAGACAAACACAAACAATCCTGCAAAAGAAGTCAATAAAACCTGATGGCTGAGTCAAAACTGACCAACAGCTGTCTGTTCCTATGGGATCAGGTGTAAGTGTCCCATCCCACCCCCGCTCCTCTAGAATCAGAAACACCTAAACAGACCATGGGCCTCCTCCCCCTACTAGCAAAACCAAAGTGCCACAATAACTGATGAAAGCTCCCCAACAAGATCGAGTTATGAGTGGGAGTTTGATGACTGATATCAGTGACCAGTTACCCATATTCATCGGGTTCAAACACCAACCTGAAACAGTAATAAGCATCAGGGGTCTCATTTATCAAACATGGCGTAGAATCCTTACTAAAACCATTCTTAAGCTCAGCAAAAAAAAGTACTTACGCCAAGCAGGTGTGTGATCTATCAAACATGGAGTACGCACAGCTGCAAGCCATCTCTGCTTCATAAATCAGAGACTATCTAGAAAGGTTCTCAGCTGCATTTTAGTCACATCCCGTCCTCACCACGCCCACTTTCTGCCATAAATAGTCAATACAAAGTGCCTTGTGGATCTCATGCGTATACATAAGCCGGCTGTTGCAGCGCTCCGCCAATGACATGGCGACCGTAGATCAAGGCAGATCAAGGAAGCGCTATTTCACAGAAGCAGAAGTTGAGGTACCTGTGGGTGAGGTGGAGAAATTAAAGGAAGTGCTTTTGCAAAACAAATAAGAGAAAATCCACAGAGTGGCACAGCGATGCTGAAGCCGTCAATGCTGAGTTCTTCAGAGAGATCTGTGGCGGATATAAAAAAATGGTCCAGTCGGGATTCGACCCCCAGACTCCCGGGTGAAAGTCACACACGCTAACCAGTCACCCAAACAGAGATCTCTCTTGTCCAAGTAACCAGGGTGCATGATCAATCGGGTCACAGTGACAGGACACACCCCCTGTCACAGACGCATGACAATCTGTCTCAATCTGCCCCCCTGTCCGTATTCGGTGCTTCAGGCTGCGTGTGTGTGTGTGCGCGTGTGTGTGAGTGAGTGTGTGCGTGTGTGTGTGTGTGTGTGTGTGTGTGTGGGGGGGGGGTCTTGTCAGGATTTCATAATTGTATCTTCTCAGCAGCAGCACTGCAGGTGCTCTCCATGTCCAACATGTGTGTAAGCCAGGTCCTTAGTCAGCTTAAAGTTTCACACATTTTCCCGCTAAGTTTTCTTTCATGAATCCCAAAGTTTGCGTGGAAAGTTGCTTACGCAGTTTTCCGACCCCGTTTTGTACGTAAGCAAGCTTGATAAATGAGGCCCCTGGTCATTAGAGGCACTAAACAAAGAAGTGGGCAGCAGTCTACGTAGATTGTGTAAACGCCTTCTTTCCCTAACCCTAACCCAACAAAAGAGGCAGAAATACATACATTACACATATAAGTATAAGAAGTACAAAATAAACTAGAAAAATTATGAATGTTGGACAGCTGAAACTGTAAACTGAAGCTGCTGAAGTGAAGCTGAAACTAAGCAAAACTATCAAAATGAGCTGAATGTATTTAAGGATGTAGAAGCAAAAATCACCAAAAAGTGTAATAAAGCTCAAAATGTAGGTGAAGAATGGAAAAAAATGCTAAACAGCGGAAAACTGAAATCTTTGAGCATAGTTTAGAAACTAGACAGTTGAAATGTTTAAACACCTGGCATTTGAGTAAGAATTGCTTAATATGAGCTGAACTGTGAATTTAGAAACATTTGCTGACATCTGACACTGATAGATTAACACATGTTCAGATTGTGTAATGGATGGATGACTGGTTGGATGGATAAAGTGATGGATGGAGGGATTGTTGGATGGATGGATGTTAGATGGTTTACTGGATGGATGGATGGATGGATGGATTCAAGCCAATCCATTTGATGTATCATATGTGTGGGTGTGTACTTCCATTTAGCAAGAAGATGATTGAACTCTCTCAGCCAATCAGAGAGCTGGGATGGGGTTGGGTGATTTCTTGCCTTCTGACGGTCAATAAAATGCAAGTTATGTTTCTAGTTTTATGTACAGAGAGGTCCGAAAGATCAGATACAGCAGTTTGTTATTGGCTGGATACTCAGCTTTTTATATCCATTCCTATGAGACTTGGTTAGAGTGGTCCTTAGTTCCTTGTGTTGCCATGGTAACAGAGGACATGAGTCTGCTTTAAAATACTGAGGTCCATTTTCACATGACTTAAATTTTGAATAATGTTTCTACGTTAAAGTATGTTGGTGTCTTAACAGTTAAAAATGTTGTTGCTAAGCATGTCAGCATGGTAACGAAGAACACACTTAAAAGTTAATAAAAGACTCCTGAGACCAAGCCGGTCGTTTTGATGTATCATATGTGTGGGTGCGTATTTCCGTTTGGCCACAAGATGATTAAAACCTCTCAGCCAATCAGAGAGCATTGATGGAAAAGGGGAGTATCCCACGTTCTGTCTGTTAAAATCTGCACTATGCTGCTAGTTTTAAGTGTATAGAGCTCAGAAAGATCAGACACAGCAGTATGTTATTGGCTCAGTTATTGGCTTTTTACATTCATTTTGATGAGACTGGTTTGGGGTAATCCTTATGCGCCTGTGTTGCCATGGTAACAGATGACAGGAATCTGCCTCAACATGAGGCATTTTGAAGCTATTTTTGTGAATGTAGTACTCAACTCTAATAAACACATCTTCAGTGGAAATACCTACAGACCTCCCTCCTCTAGAAGAACGTTGATCGCTACTTTTCAATCTCTTGGAGACTCAAAAAAGTGATTTTGATGGTGGACTCCAACTTACACTGGCTAGACCAAGCTACTTTAACTGAACGTGACTTCATAAATAGTCCACTCAGCTGATTACTGAGCTGACTAGAGCTGCTAATAATCACTCTTCCCTTATCGACTGGATGCTTGCATCCCATCCCAACAGATTGTCTGACTCTGGTGTTCTCGCTGATTGACTCTGCGATCACTCTATTATTTATGATATTTGGGAAATTAGTACTCCTCATCTTCTTCTGAAAATGGTAATATTCATAACCTGCATCCATTTCATATGGATCTTTGTCTGAAGGATGTGGGTTAACTGGGAACGGCTGATGCTTATCCCCGATAGTGGCAGCGCTGGGAAGTTCTTCTGTTCTGCGTTGATGAGAGTTGTAGATAAGCGTGCTTCATGGGTGAGTGTAAAAGTCGAGGGTAGTCCTTTGCCCTGGATTCACTGTCGACTTATTACACTTTTAAGAGGAGTGATAAAGCCTGGAAGACTGAGGGGTCTTTGTTCCGTTAACTCTAGGAATGCTACATCTGACTACTATAGAGACAGTTGGAACGGTGATTTTAATAACCCTAAACTAGATAAAATTATAATTTATGTGATAAACCTGTCACTTTAAAACGATTAGTGGTTTTGTTTTACACGCATGTACGAATGTTTGTCTTGGCTTCCCTAAAAACCGACTTCATTGGCTAGTATTTGTTTATAAGTGTATATTTTTGACTTTCCACCAAATCGAACACTGATTTGATCATGAATGCTAGATCTGCTTTGATGTTCCACCAGACAAGACAGAAGTAGGTAGACGGGCTCTTTGAGTCGAGCCCTCTGGGCTGGAATGATCTCCCTGCTGAAAGTCGCTCAATTACATCTTTTTGTTTACTTCAGAACGCTTTTTGTTTACATGTCTCACCCATCTGTAATGGTAGGTGTGCATGTGAAGGTCTGCTGTACCGTTCATCGACTGTGTGTACGAGTTAGTGTAAGCTACTTCGAGTTTGGATAATTGTACTGTACCTATTACAATCTGTTAATAGTATTTATTTTATTTAATGCTTGTTATGCATATATATTTATTCAGTTATCTTATTTTTCTTGTTTATTTTATTTTTTTGCCACTTCCTGTCTTGCTGACTTTGTTCGTGTCGTATGGAAAGAGGACCCTCTTAAAAACCAGATGTTCCATCTGAAGTATCCTATGAAAATATACGTAAATTAATAAATTAATTAATAAACTGAACAGTTAAAAACTGCCTTAATCTAAATAAATTACAGCTCAATATTAGAAGAATAAACTATAAGATGTTGAATGGAAACGTCTGGACAAGTGGGATCCAATAAAAACAGATGTGTTGGACATGAAAGTCATTACTGAGAGGACTTAACCCGACGGATCACGCGTTTCTTCTGCACTAAAGAGCTTTACTGAGTGACAGAAGACACACATCTGGACAGGTTCATGATGAAGAAGACTCTCCAGGAAATCCCCAGCAAAGATCATCAAAGCTCAGGTCAGAACCAAAGTGATGGAACAACCATCCATTCCTTATGGACTGGAGGAACACACCAGACTACCATTAAACACGTATGTAATTACAGATAATTATGAATAAAACTAGATAAAAACGAAGCTTACAGCTCATGCAGAACTTGTGTTTAAAAGTCATGACATGTAAAGATGTGTGAATACCGTTAATATGGATTACATTAAGTGTAACTGGTTATGACATTCTTTCCCTTCAGGTAAAATTAGAATACAAGTAACGAGGGGCAGAAGTACTTAGATTACTCTTCTTTCTGCTCCGTTTTATTCATCCTTGTGGCAAGTTTTATTTTTCCTTCTGAATGAAATCAAAACAAGAAAATAAAGTCCTCTCACCTCTGAGTATTTTTATTCTCGTTACACTACAGTAATCGGAACTCACCTGGTTGAGCAGAAGCTGCTGGACTGGACCGGACCGGACTCACACAGCAGAGGAGGTCCAGGAGCTCCTGCTCCAGCTCTCAGCTCCGATGGAACCATGGTGCGCTGCTGCGTCACCCCAGCGGCAGCCAATCAGCTCCGTCGCCTGTTTGGTGAGCGCTTTAGCCACGCCTCGTTTCCATGGTAACGGAAGTAATTGGGTTTGGCCATTTATAGCACGATGATCTCGCCACTGCCAGAGCCTGAGCGGTTCTGGAGCGGACGGGATTCAGAGACGTTTCCTGCATTCTGCTGCGTTCACACAGGTTGTTAAACAGCTGCGTCACCCACAGGAGCACAACCTTAACTCATTCACTACTGTTCACCACAGACCTCCAGCTGATCCATGCAGAAATACCAAAACACTAATAAAAGGATGACTGCGTGTTCGTGTTGGTCACGATGGCCATGGACGGGATTTCAATTTAATGAACCATTTTAACATTTAATAACAACCACGCCTCTTTGTTATATCCTTATTTTATTTACCCCAGTACTAATAGTAATTTTACTAGTCAAAGTACTGATACCAGCAGGTATTGGTTAGTAGTAGTAATGTTATGTAAGGATAACCAACAACTGCACTGATCTGAGACAAACCCAAGTCCCTAAAACAACCTACACTTCTTTATCACGCAGACTGGATCTGTGTTCCAGCTATCCATGCTAACATTCTTACCATCCACTCCATCCCTTCAGACGTCGGACACGTGCTGTCACGTTTCCCGTTCGTGTGCACGGTTAGCAGCAGGAGACTGGAGTTCTGAGACGTCAGCTCGGGTGTTAAAACTGTTCCCGACGGCAGGGTTAGGGCTCTGTTGTGAGAGGGTTTACTAGTGAGAGCAGAATACTGGTAGTGAGTTTCTCCTACTCTATAGAGTTCTGTTTGGAACATGAAGTCAGTAGGAACAACATACTGGATCAGAACCACAGAACCAGTCTGTCTAACAAACATTAACCAGCCAGAGAGCCCAGCTGACTCCACTAAAACCTGTCCTCTATGACTCTAGTGAGACAGATCATGTCCATGTCTGGGGGGGGGACACGGAGACAACCATGGACAGTTGGGGGGAGGACAGGGGGACTTTTTACTATCCCAAAAGCACGACCCGATATTAAAGGCACTGCTTGAGCTCTGGCACCACGCAGAAACGGGCGTTTCCCAGTAGAACCGCCCAGAAGCTCATCTATTGGCTCTGCTGATATTTGCTGGTGTGTGATTGGCCATTCGTGCTGCCTCTCCACGTAAACAGGATGTGTTCACGTTTCTGCATGCAGTTCTGCACTCGCGGCATGGCATCAAAGAGCATATTTATTATTAATTCATGCCAGAGACCCTCATAACTGGGTCACGTGACCGCTTCTGCTGGTTTGTTCTGGTTTCTGATCTGACTCACAAAGGAGAACACACCACGATGATGTCATGTAAACATGTCTACAGCCACTTCCTGATGCACCTGCAGCAGCTCCGATGTCAACGTCTTCAGCCTACTGCGTCTCACGCAGGAAGGGTTTACATCAACTCTCACCGGTAGTCCTGGTAACCAGCACTCTCACCGGTAGTCCTGGTAACCAGCACTCTCACCGGTAGTCCTGGTAACCAGTACTCTCACCGGTAGTCCTGGTAACCAGTACTCTCACCGGTAGTCCTGGTAACCAACCAGCACTCTCACCGGTAGTCCTGGTAACCAACCAGCACTCTCACCGGTAGTCCTGGTAACCAACCAGCACTCTCACCGGTAGTCCTGGTAACCAGCACTCTCACCGGTAGTCCTGGTAACCAACCAGCACTCTCACCGGTAGTCCTGGTAACCAGCACTCTCACCGGTAGTCCTGGTAACCAACCAGCACTCTCACCGGTAGTCCTGGTAACCAGCACTCTCACCGGTAGTCCTGGTAACCAGCACTCTCACCGGTAGTCCTGGTAACCAGCACTCTCACCGGTAGTCCTGGTAACCAGCACTCTCACCGGTAGTCCTGGTAACCAGCACTCTCACCGGTAGTCCTGGTAACCAGCACTCTCACCGGTAGTCCTGGTAACCAGCACTCTCACCGGTAGTCCTGGTAACCAGCACTCTCACCGGTAGTCCTGGTAACCAACCAGCACTCTCACCGGTAGTCCTGGTAACCAGCACTCTCACCGGTAGTCCTGGTAACCAGCACTCTCACCGGTAGTCCTGGTAACCAACCAGCACTCTCACCGGTAGTCCTGGTAACCAGCACTCTCACCGGTAGTCCTGGTAACCAACCAGCACTCTCACCGGTAGTCCTGGTAACCAGCACTCTCACCGGTAGTCCTGGTAACCAACCAGCACTCTCACCGGTAGTCCTGGTAACCAACCAGCACTCTCACCGGTAGTCCTGGTAACCAACCAGCACTCTCACCGGTAGTCCTAGTAACCAGCACTCTCACCGGTAGTCCTGGTAACCAGCACTCTCACCGGTAGTCCTGGTAACCAGCACTCTCACCGGTAGTCCTGGTAACCAACCAGCACTCTCACCGGTAGTCCTGGTAACCAGCACTCTCACCGGTAGTCCTGGTAACCAACCAGCACTCTCACCGGTAGTCCTGGTAACCAGTACTCTCACCAGTAGTCATGGTAACCAGTAGCTGAAACATTGAGGGGCGGACGCAGCTTTCAGGAGGAGGTTTATTGACTAAACGGCAGCAGCAGCTGGGCTCAGAAGCAAACCATCAGTGATGCAGACACGACCTTTAGGATGACAGAACTGGTAGAAGAAGAGTGACCGTAGCGTGGAGTGGCTTTAAACAGGCTGTGTCCTTACAGCAGACCAGCCCTATTCACACATCTAGAGGAGGAACAGAAGCTGGAAGACCAATCACAGCACTCAGGTCTCAACAGGAGTCTTTATTTGGTCCAGGTCCACGTCTCCAGCTGATGAGGTCAGAGTTCATCATGATGCAGCAGCTCCTGGCTGGGCTGGATGAAGACACCTTCCATGGTGCGCCACCAGTTGTGCTGGTTGGGGGACCTCATGCCGTGGACCTCTCGTTGGCCACGGATCGGGTTGCCGTACTGCTCGCCTGTAATGCTCAGGAAAACGTCGGTACCCTGGTGTTTGAAGCGCACGGCCTCATCGCGCTCCCAGTAGTCTCCATCACACTGAACCGCCCACACGTCCAGGTCGTCTCCCTCGCCGTGCTCCCCAAAGGCGCTCACCTCCTGCAGGAAACACAGACCTCTGAATCTACCACACACGCTGGAGACGGAGGCGTCTTTATTAGCGGTGAGGGGAGTGTGTGACCTGGTTATGAGACAAGGGGGAGCTGAAGTGGTGTGTGTGAAGATTTCGGCCAGTCTTCATGTGTGTGATGCGAATCGTCTGACCACACTTCACAGCCGAGCCACGCTGACACTGGCGCTTCGGGTTCCCACGAATCTGCCAGTAGCTGTTGGCGTCGTCGGCGCTCTCCACCCCGGTCACAGACTGCTGTCCGCTACCTACACACACACACACACACACACACACACACACGCACACACACACACGCACACACACACACACACACACACACACACACACACACACACACAGGACAGAAGGTCTGTCTGGTTTACGTGATTTTCAGACCAGTTCAGCAGATTCTGACTTCTATGAAGCATTCAAACTATTTGTGTGGTTTTGTAAATCATCCTCAGTTAAAACATCAGGAGGGAGCAGCAGAGCGCTGTTTTAGTGAAGAGGAGCCATCTTCGTCCCAACCCTCACCTCCGGTCAGGAGCTGTGGGTAAGGACCTACAGAATGAGGTCATGACGAGCTTCCTCTGTAGGGCGGTTGGGCTCACCCTTAGAGAGGGTGAAGAGTCAACCCAGGACAAGTTAAACCTGCATCCTCCTCCTGCTGCTGGAGAAAGGCTCAGGCTCCTCCTGTGATGGAGCTGCTATCCTGGGATAAGTGGGTGAAAACACTCTGGATGAGAGGGTTCCTACAGGTTTCTTTAAGTTCAACCCAAGCCTCTGAAGACCGTTTATGTAAAACCTGGAACCTGTTCCAGGCCCTACCGCAAAAACAACCACTACATTCTTGCAAGATCAGCTGTGCTGGCCCCCAGGTGAGCTCAGTTCACACACACACACACACACACACACACACACACACACACACACACACACACACACACACACACACACACACACACACACACACACACACACACACACACACACACACACACACACACACACACACACACGCGCACACACACGCACACGCACACGCACACACACAGTTCTAGTGAAGTCCCTGTGTGTCTGCTGGTCATATCATACATACCATTTTATTTAAGCGCTTTCAGCACAGCCATGCAGCTGACCTAAATGCTGCACAACACAGAACAACCAGCTAAATGACTCCACTGGAAGTACAGGTAGGTGGAGCTAAAACCAGACAGGCAGTTCAACCACATAACACACACGTGTAGGCCATACGATGGAGAGGAGAAAACCTATAGGCCTAGTACTAAAAGCAGTTTTAAAAGGAAAGGACGCCATTAAAGACCTTCAAATACACACAAGTTCATTAAGCAATCAGTGGGAATGAGGTAAACGTGAAGACTTGGTTTATCCGCTAAAAGCCGGGAGAAAAAGTGTTTTCTGTCCACAGCAGCAGCCTAACGTGGAGGCGCCTTTCACCGCGGGACTTAGGAGCCACGAGGAGGAGCTGATCCTCAGACCTCAGGGCATGAGGAGGGTGCTAGTGGTGCTAAGAAGGGGCTTGGCCTTTCAGAGACAAAAACTAGTCCTAACTTATTCTGTTAGCGCCCTGCTGCTGCGTTCTGAACCAGCTGGAGTCTGGGCAGAGCGGCTTTGCTGATGCCACAAACGCCGGAGTTAAAATAGGATGTAATGAAGGCGTGGACCAGGGATTCTAGATGATGTTTACTCAGATTAGGATTGAGTTTTGGAAACGCGCCTGAGGTGGTGAAAACAGGAGTTCACTGTGCTGTTAAGCTTTAAGGCCGTGTCCAGTTTCACTCCTAGGCTGGAAACAGTCGAGGTCATCACGTTTTCCCATTTAAAGGCCGTTTTTCTATTGCTGATAGCAACTGATGGCTGATATCCAGCACCCTTCCATCACATGCTAAACTCTCACTAACCACACCTCTGAATGAGCAACATTTCTGAGCTTGAATCAGTTTTTGAACACTAAATTCAACCAACCCAAGAATCTCAGTTTTGTGAGCTCCTCGGACTAAAAATCAAACATTTAAGGTAAGAAATCTACAGTGTAATAATCTCAGAAGTGCCTAATCTCTCAGCCACGTTAGAAAGAAGGTTATACTGAAGCAGATGTCCTTCTCGCCGGCCGGGGGGTGGTCAACTTTTTCTCCTTTCAAAAAGTCTATGAAGGGATGTGGTTGCTGAGTCTGCTCCGAGCTAACGCTGCTGCACCGGCAGTTTGACACCAGCAGGCTAGAGTCGTTTAAAGAACCGAAGCCAGTAAACAGGAGCGACCCAGAAGTTAGTTCTTGTACCCCTAAGGAGCTCCATCATCTTTTTGTTTTATTCTAATATAAACCAAGTTTACATTTTCAGTTTGAGAGCAGGATTTCACATCTTTGCTCTCAAAACTTGTCATGGTTGCACTAAAAATTTCTGCTCTCTTTAAAAAAACTGTTTCCCCTCAAATCTGCTTCAGTGCTCAGATTTTAGGGTTCTTGCACAGATGATTTCTTCACGTGTGAAAACGTTTTCTCTGCACAGATCAAAAGCTCCCTGAAGTCTGACCCCTGTGCTCGCAGATTTTTTCTGCTCCGTCTCAACCTTGCTGCCATCATCTCCTAGCAACCGCTTGGCCAATAGAAGGACTGTCTGGAGCTGGGTTGAGACAAACTTCTTAGGAGTATGCTTGAGCGGGGTTACCTTAACGAACAGCTACATGCGTCTACCTTCAGCTGTCTGCTCCACGTTACCATGTTCATGAAGTCAGGACACGCTTTCAAACGAGGAAGGTGTTTGTTAATGTAACCGTCTTCAAGCTGGTCCAAACTAAATTACCTAGGCTACACAGACCGTACATGTATATGCTAGCTCGTTAGCTTACATTTGATTTACATGACAGCTAGTCTGTTCTCGTCTCTGCCGAGCTGAAGAAGTCTTGTTTCTGACTCGAGTTTTTGACTGTTTCAGTATGTTTTGTTAATAATCTGTAAAATAAACACCATTATTTATGCTACGCTATTCTTATTTTATATAAATACGGGTTACTCATCAGTGGTTTTAACGTGTGGAGGCACAGATGGTTTAAAGTTCAGTTTTTCTGACTCGAGTTGACTCAACATTTATTACAATAAGTTTTCTACGGATCCCAACAATAAAGCCAACATCCTAACACATACTACCTTTTAGTTCCTCCAGACAAAACCACACTCATCCTTTGTAAAAAGTGTAAATGAGGATACATACCAGTAAAAAACTACACCAACAGTAACGCTTTAACGATGTAAACACATGAAACATTACCCTCCCGGAACTACACACGAGGGGGAACATCATCCGTTCCCCGCTGACTCACACAGAAAAGGACACGCCTAGATCACGTTGGTTTTCTCAGGATCATCAGTTTCAAATGTAGAAAACACATTCCCTGGATAAGATAAACGGGTGTGTGAGCCTCTTCAGACAGTAATCTGCGTCCCACGGGGGGTATGAACTCATGTTGTTGTTATTCTGCTTTTATCCACATGAGAATGACGTTCTTCCTCATTGTGTGGCGTTTACAGGTGGATCAGAGTGTATGAAGCCGAGCAGCCGCTCTTCTGGTTGGCGGTCCAACTAAAAGATAGAGATATAAGTTTTGGTCCATATCGCCCAGCCCTACTATCTTTTATCAGAAGCTAAAGCAGGAGATAGGCGTAGGAGACTATTTTCTATCAGAAGCTAAAGCAGGAGATAGGCATAGGAGACTATTTTCTATCAGAAGCTAAAGCAGGAGATAGGCGTAGGAGACTATTTTCTATCAGAAGCTAAAGCAGGAGATAGGCGTAGGAGACTATCTTTTATCAGAAGCTAAAGCAGGAGATAGGCGTAGGAGACTATTTTCTATCAGAAGCTAAAGCAGGAGATAGGCGTAGGAGACTATTTTCTATCAGAAGCTAAAGCAGGAGATAGGCATAGGAGACTATTTTCTATCAGAAGCTAAAGCAGGAGATAGGCGTAGGAGACTATTTTCTATCAGAAGCTAAAGCAGGAGATAGGCGTAGGAGACTATCTTTTATCAGAAGCTAAAGCAGGAGATAGGCGTAGGAGACTATTTTCTATCAGAAGCTAAAGCAGGAGATAGGCGTAGGAGACTATTTTCTATCAGAAGCTAAAGCAGGAGATAGGCGTAGGAGACTATTTTCTATCAGAAGCTAAAGCAGGAGATAGGCGTAGGAGACTATCTTTTATCAGAAGCTAAAGCAGGAGATAGGCGTAGGAGACTATTTTCTATCAGAAGCTAAAGCAGGAGATAGGCGTAGGAGACTATTTTCTATCAGAAGCTAAAGCAGGAGATAGGCGTAGGAGACTATTTTCTATCAGAAGCTAAAGCAGGAGATAGGCGTAGGAGACTATTTTCTATCAGAAGCTAAAGCAGGAGATAGGCGTAGGAGACTATTTTCTATCAGAAGCTAAAGCAGGAGATAGGCGTAGTAGACTATTTTCTATCAGAAGCTAAAGCAGGAGATAGGCATAGGAGACTATTTTCTATCAGAAGCTAAAGCAGGAGATAGGCATAGGAGACTATTTTCTATCAGAAGCTAAAGCAGGAGATAGGCATAGGAGACTATTTTCTATCAGAATCTAAAGCAGGAGATAGGCGTAGGAGACTATTTTCTATCAGAAGCTAAAGCAGGAGATAGGCGTAGGAGACTATTTTCTATCAGAAGCTAAAGCAGGAGATAGGCGTAGGAGACTATCTTTTATCAGAAGCTAAAGCAGGAGATAGGCGTAGGAGACTATTTTCTATCAGAAGCTAAAGCAGGAGATAGGCGTAGGAGACTATCTTTTATCAGAAGCTAAAGCAGGAGATAGGCGTAGGAGACTATTTTCATGTTGAGCCTGCATGAAACACTAACTCGGTGATTGATTAGAATCAGAAATAAGATTTAAAAATGGCTTTTCTGTGAACCACACCTTTAATCATGTTTGCCTAACAGCCTGTTTCGAGTTCCTGTAAAAAGACAAGAAGGTTTAACTGACAGCTGGTCAGGTTGGCGGTGAAGATGGAGACACCTTCACGCTGGCCCACAGCGGTAGCAGCAGCTGCAGCTTTGGTCTTGATGACTAAATTATTCACAAATGAGGAGGTTTTAAACATGAGCTCTAACTGGATTCACATCTTTGTTGTATTTATCCTTCATTTGCAGCTAGGAGCCACTGATTCCACTGATGTTGCCCCTGATGTCAGCATTATCAATTATCTATCAGCTTTAGTCTGGGGTGGACCCATATGATCAAC